GGCATTGTTAACATGATACATTATTCTATCAGGCATTGTCAGCATGATACATTATTCTATCAGGCATTATCATCATGATACATTATTCTATCAGGCATTGTCATCATGATACATTATTCTATCAGGCATTGTCAACATGATACATTATTCTATCAGGCATTGTTAACATGATACATTATTCTATCAGGCAGTGTCAGCATGATACATTATTCTATCAGGCATTATCATCATGATACATTATTCTATCAGGCATTGTCATCATGATACATTATTCTATCAGGCATTGTCAACATGATACATTATTCTATCAGGCATTGTCAACATGATACATTATTCTATCAGGCATTGTCAACATGATACAATATCCTATCAAGCACTGTCAACATAGTAAATTGTTTACTCAAAACAACTACTCACTGAAATTGTTGGAAACTGAATTTCATTTGTCACATCTAGTTTGGTTTCTAAAACATTAGCCAAGTTCTTCTCAACTTTATTGTAGTATTCAGGATCATTCCACACAAATCTGTCTTTAACAAGAACAGTTCGAATTTTGTTTCTAGGAGACTGAGGACATATCAATGATGTCGTTCCTGTGGATGAAGTGCAAGAGCTAATGTTATTGGAATAAGCCTCTTTTGGACTCAAAGGTATGTGTTTTGATCCTGGATTTAAGATGTAGCTTAATTCATCTTCTGAAGAGAATGAATTAAGTGAGTTATGATTTCCATTTACAACAGTGTCACTGTATATACCTCTACTATTATGAGGCTCCCCCGACGGAGACGTAAGGTAGTTAGATCGATCACGTGGCAGCGATCCATTCGTTTTGATCCTGTTTTGAACAGGTGGGGAGTGAAGTGGTGAGAGGTCACTATCTTTTTGTACAGAAGCTTGCCCTGACCTTTGTGGTTCCATGATGCCAATTTCTATGGACTTTGTCACCTTTTCTTTAACTAGAGGACTTTGCTTAGTAGTACAGGCCTCCACAGCATGTAATTTCGAAGAATCACATGAATTGGGATCGTAACACACTTGATATTTTCCGTTTTCTTCTTTTTCACTCATTTCATTTTCTTTTTTAGACTGGCGCTCATATTCTGCACACATAATTAAAATTTCTTCAAGTCTTACTTTTTCTTGACGTTGTTCTTCCTCTTCTCTCCTACGCTCTTCTACTGCCTGCAGAGCAAAATAAATATTAACTTACACTTTTGATGTCAAAACAGTGTTTCTACAAACTTACACCAATTCCAATACTTTTTTTGAATTCTGGTAAGTTAATCAAATCAACTGTTGAAAGAGATTCACCATCCTATGCAAGGTGATAATGTAAGGATTGATTCAATTTTGAAGAAGTGTATCTCTTCTTCATGAAAGTTTACAGTTGGTTACATAAAGATTTTAAACAAAAACATAATAAAATAACCTGACATCCAATAAGCATACTTTAAGTCTTACACAGTGATCTGAAATCTAATATTCGTTTAATAACTATACATTTAAAATATTGAATACAGTGTTTTTAGTGATTGAAAAGAATTCATTCTATTTGGGAAAACATTCATTTGACACAAAATATGAAGCTATGTTTCAACTTCAAACAAGTGACAAAATTCTACAGGAAAGATGGAAAGTAACTTGTAGATTGAGACTTCTTTACGTTGTACCTACTCAATGTTAATCATTCCAATAATTACTTTAAACTAGTAATTAACAGATAAGACAGAAAAAACTAAAGTCAAATATACTCTAAAAGTAGACAAGGCAAATTGTAATATATCAATTGACTTCTATAAATAAGCCAACTGAAATAAACAATATAAATACTTTTTTTCTTTAGTTTGAATTAAAAAATGCCAACAATGCAAAAACAAACACCTTCTCCTCTCATTTCAGAGTTGAGAAAGACGGAGAATTTAATCATAACTGAAAGAACGTGAAGAAAATAACTGGTTATATTAGATGGAATATATCATGCAATAACAGAAACTCTTTCTACACGATCAATAATAAATTGTAAGTTCCATAATAATTACACACTTAGAAAACTACAATTATCACACTGCCAGTGCAACACACTCAAATAACACAGCCATGTAAGACGTTTAATCACCGGAAACAACACATTTATTTGAGAGTAACATATTGTTATCACACAGTCTGCTATCAATATTCTTCTCAATAAGAGCAGATTTGATACCAATGAAAAAAAAATTAAAAGAGTTGCTTTTATCAAAATCTATAAATGCAAGAAAGTTTTAAATTTTGTAATTTTTATTGGTAAATATCCACAAGCAAATAATGATTGTAAGACTTTAATTAAATCAGTAAAAAAATATCTGCAAAATTCATTAAAATTAAGTTAATTTGGTGTAAATATTTTTTTTTCTTCAAAAATAATCATAAATTTTCAAAGTGTAGGAAATACAAAGTATTATTTTTAGCTTAAATGTACAAATATTTGGCCAATATTTTTGTCCCTCAAGTGTATTCTGAGCAAATGATGGTAACTCTTCACACTGATGTGAAGTAAGATCACATGTAACACTTTACATTCAACTTTATTTGAGTCTGTCGAAACACCTAGGAAGTTTAAGATAAAAAAAATGATGAATATTCCACAATATCATATGTTTAACAACAACAACAAAAAAATGTAGATAAAGCTCGATAAAATATGAAATTAAAAAAACAGTTAAAGCTGTTGTAATGAAACAAGAATATGAGGTCAACAATTAAGCCAAATTTGAATAATAATTAAAATCTATGTAAAGGAAAAAAAAATATGTGGGCAACATTTTGGCTAAATGACATTTATAAAAGTTGTTTACATGAAATGTTGACCATAATTGTTTTTTGTCACATAGAATGTCACTATTTCTTTGCAATTGTCAAAGATTCTAATTTGTTCACAGTATTTTAAGTATTATATTCTACTTGTTAAGGTAATCTTTGTTCTTCCATAAACAAAACCTTCAATAACTGATTAGATTATTAATTTTTTTTTGTATTATTATAACAGGACAGACCTATGAGAAGATAAGGACAATCACCGTTATTTTTGACACTTCATCAAAATAGCTTGGGATGAATTGCAACAAATACTTTAAATTTTAGTTGCTAGCTTTCAAACGAAACAAGTTATTCTACTTATTATACTACTAACTATAATAGTTAATATTTCACTATAATTTTTAATGCTGAAAGAACTATCCCATTTCAAAGAACTTCAGAAACAAGATAAAATGTGAAAGCCTTCACAGGTTATTTTAATGCAGGAAAGTTAGTTACCATTTCCTTGCAAGTGTTAAGATCACATGATAAATAGGCATCTGTCCCACATAACATAAAAACAAACCAGTCAGGTAAATTGCCTCCAAACATTTAATAGTGTCTGAGTAGTTTTAAAAAGAGAAATATTTATATTGCAATAATGTTAAATGATACAGAGCCAAAAAATTGAACATTTTCATTAAGGATGTTTACAATGTTCTCCACAAAGAGGGGAAAAAAAAGCTCACATAGCAATATGTATAGGACAGTAATGGGCTACAAAAACATATCATAAGTCAATGATCAAATCTGAAGGCTATGATTATGAAAGAGAACCCTTCAATTCAAAGTGCCACTGTAGCAAATCTCGGCACATTTCTTGCTAGGATTAACAAGATAACAAACGAAGATGTCAAGACTTACAAGCCAGAATTTCATAATCTTCCAGCTAACCCTTAAAATGAACAGTTGTTTTAACAAGAAAGACAAGAAACCAAAATCTCAGAAATCTTGTTTGTCCACATTCCTGTCAAATCCCTAATGTAGCTCCAAAAGACTTTTGAGTTTTTTGTTCTTAAGGCACTAATCAGAAACTGCATACTAGAAAATGGACAGCATCGACTTAGCTATTCTCCGAAGAAGGTTGATCTTGTGAAAAGCCTTACTGCAAGGATATAGTCAAAAACATGATCACCATGGAAGATACTGTATTCAGTACTAGTATGCTGAAGATAGTAATCATTTCCAAAAAAGTGTAAATAAACTTTTTGTACTGCTTCATTCACAGTTCATCTGTAAATGCTGCTAATAGAACAATACTGGACTTACAAAAAAAGTATATGATTTATTAATGAATTCATTTTCTTAATACATATGAAATGTTACTCCAATTCTTCTTTACGAAGATTTGGTTAAAAAAATAAATACTTTTTTTGGCCTGATAGCAATTCCAGATATGAATTTGTGAACATTTTACTTCACAAATAATGGTGTACATCTACAATACTAAATTGCAAAGAAAAATTTTAATAGCTTACTTTCAGATGTAACTGTTCAAGTTCTTCTTCTCGAGACCTCAAATTCTCAGCACTTAGATGATGAAACCTCCCATCATGAAGAGTGTTTGAAGAACAACTAAATATCCGTGTTTTAACTGGTGAGATATTTTTTGACGTTCCTACAAGGTGTGTTGGGGAAAGCGAACTATTATGGACTTCAGAATTGGCACTCATTGTGTGGACTGAATAACCATATGTGGTAGGTGACATATTTTGGTTTATTCTACAATAGACAGACTCCTTGTAGTTCTTAAGCACTGGACTTGGGGGTAAGCTGCGACTACGTAGAGCAGGAGAGGCATAAAAGTTATTGTTGTAATTACCATTAGAGTCTGTAGCTTTTTGTGTTCCAGAAGAAGGGATTCGAATACCTTCTCGTACTAGCCACCGAGGAGTATCTTGTGAAGTCTGTGGTTCACTTGGATTGCGAATCATAAATTCAAACTTAGAAACTTTCTCCACAAAGTCAAGACTTTCTCCAGGATCACTCTCATAATGTTTAAAAGGTGCCGACAAATCTGTTGATGTGTTGAGGTAATTAAGTGAGGACTGATAATCACCTGACCTCAGATTATTATATGCATATTTTTCCTCAGTTTCTAAATATTCAGGCACTGGAAAAGGTTTATCATAACTTGTTTATTAGTCATTCTTAAAAGCAATATAATGGTTATGTATGAGGATAAATAAATAGGAACTAATTTTATGCAAAGAAAAACATTCTCACAAAGATATAACACTTTTTATACAACAAAACAGACTATGCAATATGAACTTTAAACAAATTTTGTAAAAAAAACAAAAGGACGTTTTCTACTAAAGTAACCAAAATAAACAAACAATTTTGCATCAAATACATCTGTAACAAAAATTACAATACAAAAGAAAAATGGGTTATTACCCCACTGGTTAGTGGTTACGTACCTGGTGGGTTATTACCCCATTGGTTAGTGGTTACGTACCTGGTGAAACGGCATTTGGCACTACTGAGACCCTTATGTTTGGATACTTTTTTTTCATTTCATGAGCCTCTTGAGGATGGTTAAACCGGAAAAAATTTGATCTCCCCAAACATATCATACTCCCTAATAACCACAAAAACAGTATTTCAAAATTCAATTATCAAAGTGACACATTAAATCAGTTTTTGTAAATATATTACTCAAGGGTTTATAAAAAAAAAATGTTGTTTTTAATTTAAAAAGTTGCTGTATTTTAGTAAAATCTAAAAAAAAATACATGAAATGCACTGTTATTCTGTTCAAGAAAACCTGTGAAAGTTTACTACAGCCTCTTCTTTATATTGGTTTGGTTTTTCAAGGTATACATTTACTAACATGAAATTTTCTCACATTTATTGTGAACGATGGGGCATCAAATTTTTTAACTTAAAAAAGCTAATTTTCTATCCTTTGTTTTCTGTAAAAAATATAATAATAAACAGCTCAGAAAACAAATACACAGGACCTTTAGGCTTTGTCTTTTGGTTGGACAAGCTTTCTTTAATATATGGTTTTCAGTGGCAAAGTTAATATACAACTTAAGAAAAACAGTTAAACACATTTGTACTATAATTAAACTAATACTAATGAACAGATGGAATACATTATATGTAAGAAAACACACTTTACAGTTGATAAAGTTAAATGTTTTGCAAAGTATTGACACAAAAGTATACAATGTATTTATTAAATCTTTAAGTTCACCTTGTGCAAGGCGTGTGGGTTCAGAAATTCTCATCCCATCCACAGAAACCATTTCTGCTAAAGGGTACAACCTGACTAAGCTATCAATATTTTCAAGGTAGCAGTGTTCTGACTCAATTCCAGTACCCTTAACAAGTATATCCTGTGGAGTAGAAGCATCAGTCCGACCTACCCTGGTTATACCTGTGGAAGACATACACCAAATCTAATGTTATTAACAAGAGAGACCATTTGGAACTGCTATCAGTAGGTTATGAATATCACGAAAATTGTGTTCATTGTGAAACGTGAAAGAGATT